TTGATAATGAAAATCATTTGGTGCAAAATGAATAAGGACCCAGGAATGCTTTAAACTGTGAAGAGGCTGAAATGGGTTAGCTTAGCTGGCCCCAGGTGTTCTGGTCCCGGGGGGTCCAGCTGAAACAAAGAAAAGGTTAGCTCACGATGTGGCCTGTACAAGATGTCTAGCATGAGGTAGCTGGGAGCTAACGATGCTAGTCAGTCCAATGCAGCAATTTCTTCAGACCCACGCGGCTCGTTCAGTCTGTTCCGTGAGCATCAGCATTCAGTTAAAACTCTTAAAGCAGCTGAATCAGAAAGCTTATTTCAAATAAAACACAAACACAAGTATCTATTCTTTCTGAGTTCACCCAAGCAAAGCACCTATTAAGCATCAGATGGAAGGCAGGAATGATGGATGTTTCTGTTTGGACTTGGTGAAGTGAAAGGCCTTCGGCTTGGTTGGGTTTTCTGCAGGCCCCGTCTTCAGTCTAGTCTGTTCGACCAACAGCAGCTCTCAAAGAGAATTGGATTGATCCAATGCAATACTAACAGGCAACCTTGCAGGGGAGTTATAACTCACGGTAGCCCTAGACGTCTCCGTTTAGCTGCAAATAACTTCCGCAGAAAGTCAACATATTTAAAAGAAAATTTTTGGTATAAATCATTTTAATAACTTAAAAGTAATGACACATGTATAACAAACAACCTTTTTTGGACAATATTTCACAATTTGATGTTTTCTGATTGAAATATGAGGACTGTCATAGTGTCTGTGTTGTTTAATAGTGAGCAATAAATGACACATCAAATAATTGACCTTTAGGCAAAGCATCGGGTTGGAAGGCTTCATTGCTTCGTGAAGTATCATTTGGCCATCACCAGCTGCGGTTGACGTCAACAGGAAGTTGAACAGGAAGTAGTTTGTCTTCCGGTTTCAGTTACATCAGCGACATTTGATCCCAACAAAAATTATCCCAACGTTGAACTTACCTTAAGACAGATACCCCTTTTTTTAAAGCACACCAATCACCCGTTCATCCTTCCATTAATTATCTGAGATTGGGTCATATGGGAAATAGATTCCCAGAGGGAAACCCTGACAAACTCCAGCAGCAAATTTTGTGTAAAAAGCTTTTAAAAGTAGAATGGGAGACGGATCTTTTCGTTTTCTGGCTCCTCTCCTGTGGAACCAACTAGTTTTAGTCCGTGAGGCAGACACCCTGTCTACTTAACCTTCCTTCTTGTAAAAAGCTTATGGTTAAAATGTCTCATGTTATCCTGAGCTATCTCTACAGTTATGCTGCTATAGGCTTAGACTGCTGGAGGGCCTTAGGACCACATTCCCTCACTCTGCTACATTATCAAAACCTATATTTTTTTAATTCTGCAATATACACTCACCGGCCACTTTATTAGGTACCCCATGCTAGTAACAGGTTGGACCCCCTTTTGCCTTCAGAACTGCCTCAATTCTTCGTGGCATAGATTCAACAAGGTGCTGGAAGCATTCCTCAGGGAGTTTGGTCCATATTGACATGATGGCATCACACAGTTGCCGCAGATTTGTCGGCTGCACATCCATGATGCGAATCTCCCGTTCCACCACATCCCAAAGATGCTCTATTGGATTGAGATCTGGTGACTGTGGAGGCCATTTGAGTACAGTGAACTCATTGTCATGTTCAAGAAACCAGTCTGAGATGATTCCAGCTTTATGACATGGCGCATTATCCTGCTGAAAGTAGCCATCAGAAGTTGGGTACATTGTGGTCATAAAGGGATGGACATGGTCAGCAACAATACTCAGGTAGGCTGTGGCGTTGCAACGATGCTCAATTGGTACCAAGGGGCCCAAAGAGTGCCAAGAAAATATTCCCCACACCATGACACCACCACCACCAGCCTGAACCGTTGATACAAGGCAGGATGGATCCATGCTTTCATGTTGTAGACGCCAAATTCTGACCCTAACATCCGAATGTCGCAGCAGAAATCGAGACTCATCAGACCAGGCGACGTTTTTCCAATCTTCTATTGTCCAATTTCGATGAGCTTGTGCAAATTGTAGCCTCAGTTTCCTGTTCTTAGCTGAAAGGAGTGGCACCCGGTGTGGTCTTCTGCTGCTGTAGCCCATCTGCCTCAAAGTTCGACGTACTGTGCGTTCAGAGATGCTCTTCTGCCCACCTTGGTTGTAACGGGTGGTTATTTGAGTCACTGTTGCCCTTCTGTCAGCTCGAACCAGTCTGGCCATTCTCCTCTGACCTCTGGCATCAACAAGGCATTTCCGCCCACAGAACTGCCACTCACTGGATGTTTTTTCTTTTTCGGACCATTCTCTGTAAACCCTAGAGATGGTTGTGCGTGAAAATCCCAGTAGATCAGCAGTTTCTGAAATACTCAGACCAGCCCTTCTGGCACCAACAATCATGCCACGTTCAAAGTCACTCAAATCACCTTTCTTCCCCATACTGATGCTCGGTTTGAACTGCAGGAGATTGTCTTGACCATGTCTACATGCCTAAATGCACTGAGTTGCCGCCATGTGATTGGCTGCTTAGAAATTAAGTGTTAACGAGCAGTTGGACAGGTGTACCTAATAAAGTGACCGGTGAGTGTATGTAGTTCTTGCCTACATTGACTTTATGCTATCAATTTTTCTCTCTTTGTAGAAACTACTGCTATACTTGTGTTTTGGTCAAGCAGTGGAGTCTTTTGGGGGAGTAACTGAAGCTATTGCTGTCTTTCCATGTTACACACAGTAGTTAAAGGATCTTTTGTTACAACTAAACTCATTATGTTCCCCTTTATTCATGGCATATATAAATTACTGCAGGTCAGAGCTCATATCTTTCTTTCCTAGATAGATGGAGTTGGGATGTCTATAAGGTCATTAATTTATCTTTAACATTAAAAGTGCTGCTGGACCGTGGTTTACATATTTTAAATGTGTTTTTTTTTTTCTGGATTTGTCTGCTCTGGTTTCACTCCAGAGATGCTTGTATGAGGGATTGCTGCAAAGTTAACTAAACCATGCAAACATCTGGCAACATGCTTATTCAGGAGGGATTGCAGGAACGTCAGTGGGTTGATGCAGGCTGCTGAACCTCAAAAAACCTTTTACAAATTGGGATAATGCTCTCAACTAGGCAGCAATGTGTATTAACCGACATTTAACTGAAACATGCGTACCTGAGTTTAACTTCTATGTTTGAATATAAAGGACTAGATATTTTTTAGAACTTACATTTAATTTTTTAGGTTTTACATTTTTTAAATGCCTAAACTGAAGTAAACTTTTGACATAACCTAAGCTTTTTTTTTCTTCCAGTTTTTGTTTTTTTTATAACAATTTCAAAGTTCAAGCTGTAATAATACCCTGTGTTGTTTTTAGAAGTGGAACGTTCCAACTAAGCCAAAGCTTATCATATTGCCAATCAGCATAATCAAAAATCTATACTGACCCACACACTCCTGTTTTCATATTCGTGACTTTCTGATGTTTCGGATAAATACAGAATTAGTAATCTGACCCATTTTAAACTCTTTGAGTTGCATCTAACATTTTATAAAGATAAAAAAAATCAGTCATTATTTGTTTCTACACACACACAAAGCTGATGAAAGTGTAAGTAATCAAAGTTTACTAGGAAATAAATCATTTAGATGATAGCATCCAAAGGTAACTTTGCCGGATTAGGAATCGATATAAAAAGAAAAAAACATGATTGTCAGAATATGTCAGATTATTAGTTTGATTCAAAGAAAATCTATGTAAACTGGAGACAAAATTGTGTAATTTTTGTCATTTAAAAACCCTTTTAAATGTCATCATCTTTTGCTGGAGAACAAGATCAAGTCCAGGTTTCGTGTTGCTGCTGAAGCCACTGACTGAGTTGTAGCTCTATTGTGCTGTATCTAATTTAATTGGCTGTACTGATCATTAATATCCTGTATAGATTATTTTATTGCTTTGCAGTCAGACAGGATGTGTACTGAATGTTATCAAATGTCACAATTTAAAAGTTCCTGAACTTCTGCATCTTTGGAACATCATAAGAAAACTCCTAAAATCCCCCCCCCCCCCTATCAGTTGATTTGCTGGTACCATGTAATTTACTACCTCTGGAATGAGCAGTTCTTTTCTAAATCAGTATAGTGTAGTACTCCAGTGTACTGTAGTACACTACTGAAGTGTAGCAGCACTGATACAACCATATAGAAAATCCTTCTTTGACATTTTAAAGTTAGGATATTAACCTAAATGTGGCCACTGCCCTGCATGGTCATCCCTATGAACATTTACTGATACCGCCACTAGTGGCAAACTATGTGCTGTAAATGATTGGTATGCACTGATTGAAAGCATGCTTAGGACTAGTCCTAGCAATATTAAACAGGCCTTTGATTTGTCACATAAAAATATTATAAAACTAAAAAAATCCACGGAGTCACAAAAATTTACTGGAGTTCCATAAAAGTTTAAAACAAACAATCCACTGGACTTTGTTTCCAAGTTTGAAGACGTTTCAATTTACATCCAGGAATGGATGTGACCGCTTTACAGGGGAACAGAAGACCTCGCCTATTCAGCCAGGCCAACAATTCCCTTTAACGACCCCCTTTCAGAGACATAGACAGGTATGGGGCATTGCAGGCTAACAAAGAATCTAAATGACCCCCATTCCAAAGGGGTGGACCCGTTTATAAAAACTGGAACTCAACACTATTTCTGACATTTAGAATTGAAAAAGCTTCCTGGATGGGAAGAGAAACGTCTTCAAACTTGGAAACAAAGTCCAGTGGATTGTTTTTAACTCTTTGGAATGACTATGACCGGGATGACTGAGAATTTTCACCAGCAATTTACTAGAGCTGATAAAATTGAAATAAAATCAAAATGGAAACGAGAGGACATAAATCTCAACACTTTAAGGCAGGAAGTAAATTAGAGATGTTTAACCTGGGTTTTCTTTACAACAAATTCCTTTTTCAAGATTTAAAAAAAAAAAAAATTCCTCTCAGGATTATTTTGCTTAGATGAAATGTTTAATATACAAACTCTACAAACTCAATAAAAGTTATATATTTATTTGTTTGACATTGATCTTTTATGTCCACATTTGGACATCTTTCCATCTGTGTGTCTCTTTGGTGGCTTGTTTGGCACTCGGTGAGCTCTCTAGTCCTCCGTGTGGTTGTACAGTGCATCTGCAGTAGGGTTTTTCCGGTGGGATGGGGGCACCAGGTGATGGGGCAGCTCGTTGGGTAACTCGTAGCCCTCCAGCTTAACCTGAATCAGATGCTGAGCCAGGGCAAACTCCTCATCATCCAGCATGCCATCGTGATCGCAGTCAGCCAGTTTCCAGATCTTTCCCAGCACAGTGTTTGGCAGTCGGGAATTCATCATCTCCTTCTTGGCATTGACGCCGGTGATCTTCCCATTGACGGGCATCAGTGTGTAGAAAATCTCATCGTAACGGTGTTTGTCACGGCTGACGATCCAGTCATCTGCATCCGCCCCGGCACTGATGCCCTCACCGTAGCCTCGACCAAAAGGCCCGTCCTCTGAGCCCTGGAAAGCACCACCAGACACCATGGCTGGAGGCTGCTTGGACTCCTCCTCGCGGATCATAGCCATCAGACCTGCAATCTTTGTGGCCAGCATCTTATCCACTGATTCAATCAGTTTCATCTTCAGGGACGGAAACTTGTGGAAATCATAATGCTGCAGCATTTCCTGGAGGAGAAGAAAAAGATGTCTGACTTTAGATAGAAATCATGTTTAATATCTTAAACGACATATAGTTCACTGCTGTTTAATAAATGCACGTCTTATTTATGTTAAGGTGTTCTGGAAGTTTGAAAAGATTGAAAGTGGTGACTGGCTGACTGAACACATGGGGGCGTTATTTACACAGAGATGGAAAAAGTCAGGAGACGGAGAAACTGTTTGTTTCTAACGCAGCTGTTTATCTGGCAGCGCTCGAAAGACTTTATCCTAATCTTACCTCTCAGTTTAATCTTTCTGAAAATCTAAGAACCAGCTGTTTGCAGCTGTCAACAGGCTGACACAGAGGTCAACAGGGACGCTGTGTAACACCAAAGCCTGCCTGCGTTGGAGTTGCATGTTCAGGTGCAACCAGTGCTTCAAGATGATTTTTTAAAACTGTTCAAACCTACCTCTCAAACTGTAATATCTTAAAAATCCACTTATTTAACATTTAATATTTTCAGTCATATGTAGCCTATTACTAAGCTTTCTGGGCTTTTTTTCCTGCCTTTTGCTCTATAATACAGAACCTGAGATGCTTTCAAGGATTTTTTGTATTCTTTCTAATAAAAAAATAAAAAAATAAAATACAAAAGCCGTTCAAATCTGAATGAAAGATCATATAAAAGCCACAAAGCTCTTTAAACCAAAGATTTGGACTCTTTAGTTTGAGTTTTTTCTTAAAAGAGAAATATCACTATTTGCCAGACAAAGATCAGAGATTTCTGTAGAAAACGAGTCATATGCAGATGAGCAGAACACAGCTGGACTCACAGTTTGATAAGCTGTAGGGTGCGGGCGGCTGTTTATGGAGGGAAATTGGTTCCAATACTATTCAAAACAAAATGTTAAAAAAAAAAGAAATCTGAAGTAAAAGCATTTTGAAAATAGAAAAAAAAAAAAAAATCCCAATAAAAAGGAAAGTAATTTCTAGAGTAATTTATAATGCATATGTAAAAGTTCAACCAAAACTTTTTCAGATTTTATTTTGCTAATTTGTTTTCTTAAACTATTTTTTCAGATTTTTGACGTCAGCAACAGTATCTGTACTGGTCTACGTAAAGACCACTCCGAAGCTTAGAGGGTAACATTTTTAAAACAGGACTTGAACAGAAAACCATTCGTAGAGCTCTGTCGCAAAAAAATCAAAAAAAAAAAAAAAAAAAAAAAATATATATATATATATATATATATATATATATATATATATATATATATATATATATATATATATATATATATGTTGTAAACGGGTAAATTACTCCTCAAACCTTTATTGATTGAGAAGTTTTTCAAAACTTCTTTTACAAACCACCTATTTGCTTTTAATAAAATAAAAAAAAAATGATCTCCTTAGATCTTTTACTTCATTGAATTAACCGACCAGAATAAAAACAGCCTCTCAAAGAACCAGGGCCTGCGACAGGCTTCCTCTTTTTACCATCTACTGATGCCAGTTACTAAATGTAATCGATCGGATATCTATGACGGACAACTTGCCACCAATCTCAGGTTTTTAGGAATAAACCCCACTTCTTTAGTCCTGGGACCTGATAGCTTATTTCCTAAGATCAAAGGATTTCCCAAAATGCAAACTGATTTCTGTGGCTGGATTTTACATATTGACTTGATCTCATTACATAATATTGGATAAGAAATGAATTGGTTTCTCTCAAAGATGTCCAGAGATTGTTCTGACTGACCGTATTGCAGCCAAAGGGTGCAATAATGTCAGTCACTAATATCTACTGAAGACTAGATATTAGGCAAGGCAAATTTATTTGTATAGCACAATTCAGTACAAAGACAATGCAAAGTGCTTTACATGATTAAAATACAGGAAGATAAAACAGAATCAAAGCAAGTAGGAAAAAAAAAATAAATAAAAAAATAAAAAATAAATAAAATAAAATAAAAAAATGCAGAAACAAAAAAAGAATATCAAAAACAGTTGGAAGTTTTTGTTAGATTACATTTATTTATTTGATGATTTTTTTTCCTTTTTTTTTTTTTTTTATGAAGAAGAGGACTTTGTTTGAGCTAATTTTCCAGTATTTGATTTCTAATTATCTTTAAAGCTGTTAGCATTTGATCAAAAATGTCTCCTTGGGCAGTTGACAATTCCCCAGAACCTTGCCTTTTGTTCTACTACCATAGAACTGCAAAACCTATTAGTGACTTTTCATCAGCTAGAAAACATTAATATTAATATAATTATTATCTTGTATTTAATGAGTAAAACTAAGCTGCTCTTTGTTAAGGAAAAGTTCCTTATTTCTGCAGAAAATAAAAACAGAGATTCTGCCTTAATAGAGAAGTGAATTTACGGGGCAGGTTGGGGCTGCAGGGTGCTAGAAGTGGCAGCATGTTGGAGAAGCTCTGTTACATTCAGTTGGATATTCTTGCAAAAACTTTTATCAAACTGGATAGGTGTCATTATCCCGGACTCCAACATCAACCATCATCATCACCATTCCACCATCAGCTGCTGCCAGACACTGCATGTAATGTCATTAGCTCAGTCGTTGCTAAGCTACAGACACAACAGCCCAATGCTTTAGTGAATATAAATGGTGATTCCAACCACGCCTCACTCTGCTGCACGTCCAACATTTCTACAGCTTCTCAGCGGCTCTATCAGAAAACAAACCATTTGATTTGTTTATGCAAATATCAGGATACGTCTCCAGAGCAGGACTTCCTCTGGGAAAACCCAATAAATAATCTTGTTTTTCTCTGATGGAATGTAAACCCTTTGTTTAGCGGCAAACTTTGTAAAAAGAAAAGATAAAAAACAAAACAAAAAAAAGAAACAAGGAGGTGATGTGAAGATGGTCACAGGAAGACAAAGAAGACCTGCTGCTGCTGCTTTCCCAGGAATAGGGAGACAGGGAAGCATACAGAAGAAACTTAAAGCCAAGGTAAGACAAAGCAAGGAGGAGCCCAGGAAGAAAGCAGCTCCAGCAGAATAATATCAGAGATATCTTTAATCTTAAGCCTGGTTTGCGCTCGATGCGTCGACAAGGTCCGAATAACCATATTAATTAATTTTTAGCACCCAGGCCTGTCTGCACAGCCTGCACTATGCAGCTCTGTGTGGGAAAAAATAGTGGAAGAACAGCTCCTACTAGTGAGGGTTTAAAAATATAAACATCTCAAGATGTCTTTTTATTAAGCCCATAAATATCCCAAAGACTAATAGGTAGTCACAGACACTCTTGGAAATGAAGAGGCTTGGAAAAAGCTGTGTTTTCTACATCTACATGTTGTCTTCTTCTTTCTTCCAGCTTTTTATTAGCATTACACTGTCACAAGTACAGAACAACGAAATTAACTCTTTGCATTTAACCCATATACCCCATAGCCTGCAATACCCCATTACCTGAAACATAGAGACATACAGTGGGGCAAAAAAGTATTTAGTCAGCCACCAATAGTGCATGTTCTCCCACTCAAAAAGATGAGAGAGGCCGGTAATTTTCATCATAGATATACCTCAACTATGAGAGACAAAATGAGAAAAAAAAAATCCTGAAAATCACATTGTCTGATTTTTAAAGAATTTATTTGCAAAATATGGTGGAAAATAAGTATTTGGTCAGTTACAAACAAGCAAGATTTCTGGCTCACACAGACCTGTAACTTTTTCTGTAAGAGGCTCCTCTGTCCTCCACTCGTTACCTTCATTAATGGCACCTGTTTGAACCCGTTATCAGTATAAAAGACACCTGTCCACAACCTCAAACAGTCACACTCTAAACTCCACCATGGCCAAAACTAGAGAGCTGTCAAAGGACACCCGAAACAAAATTATAGACCTGCACCAGGCTGGGAAGTCTGAATCTGCAATAGGTAAACAGCTTGGTGTGAAGAAATCAACTGTGGGATCAATTATTAGAAAATGGAAAACATACAAGACCACTGATAATCTTCCTCGATCTGGGGCTCTACGCAAGATCTCACCCCGTGGGGTCAAAATGATCACAAGAACGGTGAGTAAAAATCCCAGAACCACACGGGGGGACCTAGTGAATGACCTGCAGAGAGCTGGGACCAAAGTAACAAAGGCTACCATCAGTAACACACTACGCCGCCAGGGAGTCAAATCCTGCAGTGCCAGACGTGTCCCCCTGCTTAAGCCAGTACATGTCAAGGCCTGTCTCAAGTTTGCTAGAGAGCATTTGGATTATCCAGACGATGACTGGGAGAATATCATATGGTCAGATGAAACCAAAATAGAACTTTTTGGTAAAAACTCTACTCGTCGTGTTTGGAGGAGAGAGAATGCTGAGTTGCATCCAAAGAACACCATACCTACAGTGAAGCATGGGGGTGGAAACATCATGCTTTGGGGCTGTTTTTCTGCTAAGGGACCAGGACGACTGATCCGTGTGAAGGAAAGAATGAATGGGACCATGTATCGTCAAATTTTGAGTGAAAACCTCCTTCCATCAGCAAGGGCATTGAAGATGAAACGTGGCTGGGTCTTTCAGCATGACAATGATCCCAAACACACCGCCCGGGTAATGAAGGAGTGGCTTCGTAAGAAGCATTTCAAGGTCCTGGAGTGGCCTAGCCAGTCTCCAGATCTCAACCCTATAGAAAATCTTTGGAGGGAGTTGAAAGTCCGTGTTGCCCAGCGACAGCCCCAGAACATCACTGCTCTAGAGGAGATCTGCATGGAGGAATGGGCCAAAATGCCAGCAACAGTGTGTGAAAACCTTGTGAAGACTTACAGAAAACGTTTGATCTCTGTCATTGCCAACAAAGGGTATATAACAAAGTATTGAGATGAACTTTTGTTATTGACCAAATACTTATTTTCCACCATATTTAGCAAATAAATTCTTTAAAAATCAGACAATGTGATTTTCTGGATTTTTTTTTCTCATTTTTTCTCTCATAGTTGAGGTATATCTATGATGAAAATTACTGGCCTCTCTCATCTTTTTAAGTGGGAGAACTTGCACTATTGGTGGCTGACTAAATACTTTTTTGCCCCACTGTAGACAGGTATGGGGTATTGTGGGCTAACAAAGAAACAAAATGACCCCCATTCCAAAGGGACGGACCCACTCAGGTTCAATTTGCAGGTTTTCTAAACCAAAACAAGGCTTCGCCTCGGTCGACTCTATTTCTCAACACTATTTCTGACATTTTGAATTGAAAGAGTTTCCTGGATGACAAGCAAAACGTCTTCAAACTTGGAAACAAAGTCCAGTGGATTGTTTTTAACTTTTTTGGAATGACTATGAGCTGGATGGCTGAGAATCTTCACCGGCATATTGAGCAACACTGTATTGAACCTGACTGTTTGCAGAGTTTTCTCTTCCCCTGATTGCTTTGATGCCTTATCTCAGGTTTTTTTTTTTTTCCTTTCTTTGATTTTACGGGTTTGTAAAGTATCACAGTTCAAATATCATATCATATGGTGTACCCTAACTATGAGTATTTTTGGAAAAAGGAAAAGATTTAATTGTTTATTACTAATAAATAACAAACTAACATGGTTTCATCTCTATATGGGCTCCAATATTTGGCATTGCTGGCAGGATCTTCTTTCCATTTTCTGTGGAGGTGTTTGTCCATAATTAGTTTAAGGACAGGAGGGGCAACAGGCGCTTGTGGCGCCTTGCAAGCAGCTTGTCCAGCGCTGCAAAAATCTCTCCTACCATAATCTGCTGGAATCAAAGAAGCTCCAACAGCTGATAGAGAAAACTGGTTCAGGTCAGGAGGACGGCTCTGGAATGTCTGGAGGGCTTTTTCAGGACATTGTGTTTTATATCAGCTGAGCACAGATTTCATCAGGGGACTAAAAGCTCTCAAACATAAAATCCTGCCAAGAGTTCAATTTTAAATCACACACCCACTATCAGCCATGAACCTCCCTGGAGGAATCACAGCTCAGCTGCAGTTCTTCTGCTTACTGTGCTTCAGAATCTGCCCCAAGGCTTCCACCTTTTTACCATCACATCTATGCATTAACATACATCCCATAATACGCCTGAACAGAACCAAATACTGTGTGCAGAGAATGGCACCCTGACTGAACACTGACTAAACCTTTCTGCAACATTCACTGCTCTTTATTGGTCTGCAGGTTCTGATGTCATCACGACTACTTTTAAGAAATATCTCAGAGGATTTTTGGATCCAGTTTCCATGTTGACCAAAAGTTAAAAGTACGTTCACACCGAGCGTGAAACCTGGGAAAATCTTCACCAGGTTCGTCTGCCTTTGCTCGCCTTGAAGTTTTTACTTTAGAAAGCTGAACAAAGCTGTCAGCGTTCCTCGGTTCACCAGATTCCCAGAGACAGAACCAGTATGGGGAACATCACCACCTCTTCCAGAGGCTACATGGGGTTAACGGTTGCTTTCAGCGGTAATCCCACTTATCAGTGACCAGTGTTAGAGCCCTGCATTGTGGGACGAATCATCCGGACGACAGAGGGTTCAGTTAGATGCTGTTGTGGAGCTCAGACAGGAGCAGCAGCCACTGCAAAAAATCTAAATCTAGATAAGTCATTTTTTTCTTAAAATAAGTGCATTTGTTCTTGAACTGAGGAGGTAAAAGAGAAATTTTGCCAATGGAACAAGACAATTTACACTTAAAATAAGAAAAGACAATTGCATTGTCTTATTTCAAGTGCACATTATCTAATTATCTTATTTTAAGAGTAAAATTACTCATTCCATTGGCAAACTATCTCATTTACCTACTCAAATTAAGGTTGAATAGATTTAATATAAGAAATTTTTACTTATTTCTATGAAAAAAAAATGAAACCAGGACAAGGCTGCCAGCTGCGTCAATCTATGGAACTAAGGAACCACAGCGGGGGATCAGAGGACCAGAGAGAGGAGAGAAGACGAAGCTGAGAAGTTCGGTGGGGAGACAGAACCAGCGGGAAAGGGCTGCAGCGGAGGAACAGAGGAGCACAGCGGGGGATCGGATTAGTCCACCGGGAAGAAAGAATCCTGAAGGTGGGGTGAGGCTACAACTGCCTGGGAGAAGGACAGCGGTACATGGGAGAAACCAGCCAGGGAGGGAGAGCTAGGAGAGGCTATAGCTGGCTGGAGATAGCCTCTACAAGCTAACTACTGGAGATGAAAGGAGAACAAGGTAGAAACCGGCGGAGGTGAAGCAAGCATCCTTCTAGGGCTGAATTAAAATGGCTTTTTTTAAAAGCACCTTAATTCCTCATAAGAGCATTCCCACTCCTTCCAACATAATTCACTCTGTTTCATTTTTAATAAAAAAAAATTAGCTTGTCTGCTGCGCTGCTTCAAACATTTAGTCCCTGACTGGATTTCACGATGCAAATGTAAATAAAAGTTTAGATTTTTTCAACTTCATTTGCAGGCGAGGCGGCGATTAAAAGTCGCCATCTTTGCTTAAATTGATCTGTGTGCCTTCCTAAATTCGCCTCGTTAACCCTCCTATCTTCGCTTTGCAGATCGCCCTCCACATAGACATAACTTTAGAATTCATCACTTCAGCTGCAACATTGCTGTTTGGTATAAACGTCCCTTAAGAACCAGAACCAGAACCTGCTGCACACCGACTCAGAACCAGCCACACAGGAACCATTGGATTCCAACAGGGCAGGATCTCTGCTTCTACCTGCATCTTGGTGACGTTGGGGAAGTCTCCAGGGCTGATGTGATGCTCTCTCTGCAGGATGGTGTAGATCTCTGGAAGATTCATGATCAGCTCTTCCTTCTTCTTCTCCCGGCCAAAAAGAGACGGCATCTCCTTCTTCAGGTAGCTGATGATGTAAGCGTGCACCTTTAGGAAAAGACCAGCAGAACTCAAAATTAATATAATTTCCATTTTTTATCACTTTTACTTATTATTGCTTTGGTAATTTTACATTTATTTCTCTTTAGTGGAAAGGAATGTAAACTTTTAAGCACAACTATCCATAATTATATAAAGCTTTAACATGTTCCTCCTTAACACCAGAGTTACAATCTGAACTGCCACTCACTTATCCCTGGGATTATTCCGATTTGTGTCAAGATTACAAAAAAGTCAGAAACTAAATCTTGTTTCAGTAATTTAAAATCTGAAAGTTTCAGACTGTACTGCTATGCAGGACACGAAGCGGGATTCCCTCCGGTAGATTGCCGTCTCACCTTGGCCAGCCTCGCCCTCTTAATGAGGTCGTTGAGTTTACGGAGGGCAGCATTCCTGGGGAGACTCTGGATATCCCTAAAGAGATCCTGAGACTCCGCCTCAAACAGACGCCTTCAGACACACAGGGGAATGAAAGAAGGGATGATTTAAGAAAAAATGAAAAGCAGAAAACCTGTGAAAAAAATGAGTGTTTGACTGAGACCTGTTCTCTGTGTTCTGCAGTGGTTTGGCCCAAAAGGAACCCAGATACACTCTCACCACCTCTGGGGTATTTATCACCTTCCCCAGTGACCACATGAGGGCGCCATAGACCCGCATCAGCTGTTGGGTGTCCACCTAAAGCACAGAGGGGAGAAAGAAGGTCCATCAAAGCTACAATGACCAGCAGAACCAAACTCCAGACTCCAGAAGCACTCTGCTCATCAGACCTGGTCCGCTTTGTTCAGAACCACTCGGATCTTGTCGTCTTGTCCCTTAAACGCTTTGATGGCTTCAGAGAACTCGTCGGAAATGTCCAGTTTGTGGGCATCAAACAGCAGGATGATCCTGTCGACCCGCTCCCCAAACCAGCGCAGAACCTCTGCAAAGTCATAACCTGAAGGATGGACGGACAGAGAGACAGAGAGAGAGACATTTGACGTCTTTTATTTACTTCACATCAGAAACCGACTCCGTTTCAATCATCACAATAAAAAACAACCATTACCACACAAACACACACAGATAAGCTAAATATAGGCTTGAAAGCCAACTACCAGTCAAGTAAATCAGGAGGTGTGCATCTCTGTAATGAGAAGGGGTGTGGCCTAATTACATCAACACCCTATATAAGGTGGGCTTAATTATTAGGCAACTTCCTTTCCTTTGGCAAAATGGATCAGAAAAGAGATTTGACAGACTCTGAAAAGTCAAAAATAGTCAGATGTCTTTCAGAGGGAGCAGTAGTTTCGAAATTGCCAAGCTTTTGAAGCGGGATCATCGCACAATCAAGTGGTTCATGGCAAATCGCCAACAGGGGCGCAAGAAGTGTGAAAAAAGAAGATGCTAAATAACTCCCCATAAATTGAGACGGATCAAGCGTGAAGCTGCTAGGAAGCCATTAGTCACCAGTTGTGCCATATTTCAGAGCTGCAACATGTCTGGAGCGCCGAGAAGCACAAGGTGCTCAATACTCGGGGACTTGGCCACGGTAAGGAAAGCCGACAAAAGGCCACCTTTGAACAAGACGCACAAGAAAAAACATTAAGATTGGGCCAAGAAATATCTGAAGACTGATTTCTCCAAGGTGTTTTGGTCTGATGAAATGAGAGCAAGTCTTGATGGGCCAGATGGATGGATGGGCACCAGGCTGGATCAGTGAAGGGCAGCAAGTTCCTCATCGACTCAGACGCCATCAAGGTGGAGGTGGGGTAATGCTATGGGCTGCTATCATCAAAGATGAGCTTGTGGGACCTTTTCAGGTTGATGATGGAGTCGAGATCAACTCCCAGACCTACTGCCAGTTTCTGGAAGACACCTTCTTCAAACAGTGGTTATAGAAGAAGTCGCCATAATTCAAGACCATGCAGGACAATGCTCCGTCACACGCATCAAAATACACCACAGCGTGGCTGGACAGAAAAAGGCTAAAAGGAGAAAAATAATGACATGGCCCCCTTGGTCACCTGATCCGAACCCCATGGAGAACCTGTGGTCCTTCATGAAATGTGAGATCTACAGGGAGGGAAAACAGTGTCTGTGGCTGCTGCACTCAATGTGGATCACAAACAGATCAAGACACTGACAGAATCTATGGATGGAAGGATTTTGAGCATCATGGGGAAGAAAGGTGGCCATATTGGTCACTGATTTGGTTTTTTTTTTGGTTTTTGAATGTCACAAATGTTTATTTCTGAAGTTTAAGTTGTTATATTGGATTACCAGGTGAAAATCAACAAATGAGATGGGTAAATATTTGTTTTTTTATTACGTTGCCTAATAATTCTGCACAGTAATTGTTACTTGCACACACAGACACCTCATAAAATGGCCAAATCAAAAAAATAAAAAACACATCAACTTCCAAAACTATGAAGCTATGATATTAAGGAGTCATTTTGAGTTGATTGAGAACAATTGTGGCCCAATAATAAAAATAATCCTCAAAAATACAACTTCTAATACACGTCTTATAATTCTGCACACAGTGTAAAAAGACCAACTAGCCGAGGACACCCCACCACTAGGTGCTCCAGTGTTTCCCTCTGGGTGCAGAATGGACAGCCCTACCCAATGCCTGGATCCAGGTGAACTCTGTGTCTGTTTGTGGCTATTGCTCCATGTATCATCCTCCGCTGAAGGTCCGCCATCTTTTTCTCAACAGGGGGTTTATACAGGACCCTCCGCCTGCATTTAGGAGTAACGTCTGAGGCAAATACCTCACACCATTTCGACTCCTTCACTCCATCCAGAGAGTGAAAGTTCAGCACTTTCACACAGTTGTAGAATAGCTTCTTCTTCCCACAGGGGCTAAACCCAGCGCTGGTGTTTTCATGGTGAGAAGAAACCCCCTCTCCTCCTGCTGCTCCTCAGCAGCCGGACAGACGCTCAGAGACGGAAAATTATACACGCAGTCATCCTTTCACTGGCCAGCGTGATTCTTAGCAAACCTTCTCATTGGTTCATACAGGGACTGCCAGACTTCCTCCATAATCCTACTCTGCACTCTGGATGTTTGTGATGTCACCGAGCGTTTCCATGGATGCTTTGTTGAGGTGGCCCAGTTTAGTAATGCCAGCCTCAACAAATGTAGTTCTTAATATAGCAGAAGAAAACATAGCGTTTCTAAGGAAGTTGTTGTGAAAGAGTGGCTCCTCATAGATCCACATCCCTGGACCAGAGTCCTGAGTTCCCATGACCCCATGAGTGAGAGAGAGAGAGTAAGTGAGATATCAGAGGATGAGAGGAGCTCCTTCAAGGAGGCCAACAGATCAGCAGACAGCTGATTGAAAAACTGTCCAAGAATTCAAGCAGGTTATTGACTCTTTGGCCAGAGACCGTTTGCAGTTTTTCAGGCTCGTCTCACATCTGTCAGGGTTAATGTTTGGCAGGACAAACTGTTTTACAGATGAGCAAACCGTGAGGGCATATTTGTTGACCTTCTGTGTATTTTAATTAAGTGGGATTGTGTGTGGCGTGTCTAAAGTGAGCCGTGGCAGTGTGGGTGTGGCCGCTCCGATAACAGTGAGCTCAGGCCTGGAAACTAAACCCAGGCAAAGATTTTCAACATTAAATGGGAATTCCCAGCAACAGAGAAGGGTCCTGCTGCTAAGTGGGCTCAGGCTAGAAATACCTCCCACCTGCACATCCAGGATGTCTGACAGAGAAAATTTGACCCAATGTAAAGACTTGTTACGGGTAACAACTGAATAAATACATCAATGAATCAAATGCCTACATTATGCAGAATGTGTTTGTTTTTGACAAAGATTATTTTCCTCTCATCCTGCTGGAGACAAGAAAACCTTTGTCCGCATGACCTCTGCTGCAGCTGAGGACGCTAATGTCCGGTTTCTGCTGCCAGTCATCTGGAGTTTACTTTAACAAACACAGAGAGGAGTGTGTGAGCTTTTAACTCGTATCTCTGCCGGCGGTGCCACCATAAACGCACAGATCCAGTCGTTCTGGTTGGTTTCCTCTGATTAATGAGGCCGATCAAATAACTAAGCTCCAGTCCGTCGCTGGTGAAGCTGGTCAAATATTTCCAGGCTGGAAGCTCTCATGAATAAGTGAGGGTGTTGGCAGCGGCTGCAGCACGCCGACCCCTCCTCCCTCTGGTCTCACGGCTCAGGTTACAGCGGAGGCTTCAGGTGTTGGCTCAGGACGGCCCCGGGGGGGGGGGGCATGATGCCAAACAATGAACGCAGTCAGCAGCGAGGAAATTTCCTGCATCTATGAGAAATATTTCAGCTGACAGAAACACGGAGAGGAAGCCAAACTCCTGCAAGGTTAGAGCAAGGAAATTCCTCTGATATGAGGTCTAGTTAGTCTCTTCTTCTAAAACAGGGTGACTGATTACCTTATATGCTCCATTTCCTTTGAAAAGGGAAACGCCTTCGGTCTAACAATACTACTTCCCCTGCAGTACGTCCCTGCTCCCTATGAAGAGCAAAAGCTGCAGGCTTCCCCCTGGCTGCTCTCCTCTTCTTTAAAGACCCACCTTTGAATTATTTAGTCTGACTTGTTTTAATATTTTCAGATCTTTAAGAGAGGAATCTACCTACAAGTGCTAATAAAGTTGTTTTATAAAATGTTTAACTGAAAAAAGAGCAGATTTTTTACATGAATCAAGCTATATAGGGTGGCATTAAATTGATCTCAGATAATACATCAAATAAATCTTTGTGCTATTTTTTGATCAGGACTTGTCATTTAAATCCCATATCAAAGAGGTTTCTAGAATTTCCTTCTTTCATCTGAGGAACATTGCAAAAATGAGAAAACTCCTGTCCAAAGGTGATGCTGAGAAACTAGTCCATGCATTTGTTACTTCAAGGCTGGACTATTGTAATTCTTTACTATCAGGAAGTCCACAAACTGTAGTTAAAAGCCTTCAGCTGATCCAAAATGCTGCAGCCAGAGTTCTGATGAAAATGAAAAACAGAGATCACATCTCTCCTATCCTGGCTTCTCTTCATTGGCTTCCTGTTAAATCCAGAATAGAATTTAAAATCCTCCTTCTCACATATAAAGCCTTAAATGGCCAAGCTCCATCTGATATCAGAGATCTGATTGTTCCTTATGTTCCTAACAGAGCACTTCGCTCTCAATCTGCAGGTTTACTAGTGGTTCCTAGAGTTTCTAAAAGTAGAATGGGAGGCAGATCTTTTAGTTATCAGGCTCCTCTCCTGTGGAACCAACTACCAGTTTTAGTCCGTGAGGCAGACACCCTGTCTACTTTTAAGGCTAGACTTTAAGCTTTATCAAAAAGGAAAGTTTTTAGTTAGAGTGGCTCAGGTTATCCTGAGCTATCTATATAGTTATGCTGCTATAGGCTTAGACTGCTGGAGGACATAGGGACCTCTTTTCATCATTCTATCTCTATTCTTCCACTCTGCAGAATCTGTTAGTTCGATCTCTAACGTTCTGCTCTCTCTGCTTTTTCTCATAGTAGCTTCATCTGGTCTGTTCCTGTTTGGCTGTGACTCCATCCTGGAGAGAAATATCAGCTGTGCTGCTGCCATCAACACTTTTATTTATAGATGCTGGAGCCTGGCCTGTTTTCAGTGTAGTCCTGTTTCTCTCCAAAACATAGCTATAGGCTCAGATTTTACTTTATATGCTCTATTTATAGTTTACACTGAGCCTGGTTCTGGTCCTGCTGGAAGTTTTTTTCTGTAAAACTGAGTTTTCCTCTCCACTTTCGCTGCATGCTTGCTTGGTGTGAGGGATTGCTGAAGAGTCAACGACAAAATGGAAGTAAATATCTATCGTCTCCACTTGTTGATCTGGGAGGAAAGAATCCTGCAAAGTCAATGACTGGATGCAATCAGCTGATTTTCCTTCAAAAAGTTTTAGCAATGTGATTGGATGATGGGATTCAACCTTCTCTTTAAA